CTTAATGCAAATGGGTGAACTGTCCCTTTAAGGGTCAGACTTGGTGCTGTGTCGTCAGCAGTGTGTGCTGGAGCTGATTGTTTCTTGTCTTGATTTTACATTTATGAGTACTTATTACAATAGGCAAAATAGAACTCATCATTCTCCTTCTTCTTTTTCACACAGGCACGAGAAGCCCACAGATCCTGATGATCCTCTAGCCGACCAGAACATAAAGGACCGTTACTATGGCATCAATGACCCAGTGGCTGACAAGCTGCTGAAACGGGCCTCAACTATGCCCCGACTGGACCCACCAGACGACAAGTCCATCAGCACCCTCTACATAGGGGGTCTGGGAGATACTGTCACAGATGGAGATCTCAAGTAAGGGTTTCTATTTTATAACTTTGCACAACTTCCTGTGGCCATTTAGGGCAGGCTTACTCATTTTGTAGATATACTAGAATGCAATTCAAGGACTGTTAGAATTTTAAACCTTACCTTTTCAGAATTGATGACATTTACGTCTTATTGCAGGAGTCACTTTTACCAGTTTGGTGAGATTCGCACCATTACCATAGTCCAGAGGCAGCAGTGTGCCTTCATCCAGTTTGCCACGCGGCAGTCAGCTGAAATGGCCGCTGAGAAGTCCTTCAACAAACTCATCATTAATGGACGGAGACTCACTGTCAAGTGGGGAAGGTAAGAAGCTGATCAAGAAGGTAAAATTTGAACAGTCGGATGTCCGTCAACAACCTGCTTCCCGGACACTGGATTAATGCTCATGCACTCATTCATTGTGTATATGCAACCGAAAAAGGGGTTCTGCTGATGAGAATTCTTAGCTTTTATACTCCTGGGAAGAGCTGTGAAGATTTATAGTGATTTGCATATTAAACGCTGTGTTCAGACGCACATGTGTTTGAAAGTAACTGCCTGGAGTAATGCTCCCATCACAGGCGCCACTGAAAGTAAAACAGATTCTGAAATATCATTACAGACACAGTAAGAGCTTTACCGTGGCAAAGAATTTGTGTGGAGCAGGACTGCTGAAATGTTCTGTTCTCAACACAATTCTGCTGCATTCAACGGTGTATAACAAAGTGATGTGATTTATATATAGTGTAAATTGTTTGTCTTTTTAGGTCTCAGGCAGCAAGAGGGAAGGAGGGCATCAAAGAAGGTGTCAGTGAGATGGGCACCAGACTCGATCCTGTACCTGGACTGCCTGGAGGTGAGTAACTCAGGGAGAGTCGGAATTTGTGTGTATACATATTGACATAGTTATGTGAGGGTAATTTAAAGTAGTACTTGCATACATTTTGTCATTAGTTGTTGAGTCTTGTCTTTTTGGTCGTATATAGTAGAAAAGAATTAAGAATGATAGTGGGAATTATTGCTGAAATGTGTTTGTTTGTCATGCTGTTAATTAAATTCTATTTCTCTTCGGGCTATAGCTCTTCCTCCACCACCAGCTTTAGATGAAGAGGCTCCTGCAAACTACTTTAACCTGGACCCTAGCTCCTCTCCTGCGGTCATGAACATTGCTCTGCCCCCACCTCCGGGCATCAACCCGCCTCCTCCAGGTAGAATCTAAACCATGATCTCATAGATGCAGCTTATATCACATTTAAAAATGTCATAAAATATTTTTTAGATAATCGTGTAAAAGTTATACCACTGTTAACTTTGGTAATCCTGATCTTTTATTATATGTTTACACAGTTAGTGTTTGCAAACCTCATAACAGAGCACAGTGTCAACTATTTAAAGGTAGAAAAGCTAGATCCCTAATTCTGTGTTCTCCTTCTTTTCATCTTCTTAATCAGGTTTTGGGCCTCCAATGTTTCACCACATGGGTCCCATGGCTCCACCTATGCCTCCTCCAATGAGTATGAGACCCCCTGGTCAAATCCACTACCCCTCCCAGGATCCTCAGCGCATGGGTGCCCATGCCGCACATGGCTCACGTCATGGTGATTAGCTGCTAGAGTGAAGTCATACTGTGATTCGGTGTAATTCTTTTCCATACATCAAACCTGGTCAGGTGCTTTCACTTAAGATTCAGTGTGGCTGAAACCTGCAGACGACTCCTGCGAGAAACGCACTGCATAGAAAGTTCCTTCTTACAGAATAACATCTGATTTATTATACCACCTGCAGTGCAGTGAATGAACTGAACGAGGACCATCTGTGTCTGGAGAGACGACAACCCGGATCTTACAAAATGAATTTGTCACTACTCGCAGTTAAAAAGTACCAGAACAGCATCTGAACAGTGGAAGTTAAGATAGTGAAAGACTTGATACGTGATGTCGGGGCCATATGGTTTTTACAGAATCCTGTGGTTGGAACCTTTGTACATATAAAATGTATACTGTAGGTTAAACTTGTATTTGTCACATGGAGTAAAATTCTGAGGAACATCTTTAAACCTGTTAATTTTTCAGTTACTCTTTTTTTTTTTTTTAACTTGACACAATCTTTATTCCACAGCATAATGGCATTTTACGTATGTTTTATTGTAAGGCTTTCTTTAAATGTTGTTTTCACTTGTCATTAAAATGACACAATTTCGTCATTGATCATCTCAGAGTGCACATTATTTATTAGTACTTTTAACTGTTGTCAAAGCAGACTAATCTACTCCTGCAAAATGAGTAGGGGACAAAGTGGGTATAAAGATGTAAACCCACGTGAAAGAGGGTAGTCCAGTAATTAGACATTGATGGGATCAGGTACAGCTAAGTAAAGTAACAAAAATGAAAAGCTAGGTAGAGGCGTTCAGCCTGTGGCAGCATTGTCAGGGACTCTACTGTGGTAATGAAATAATTGCAACATTGAGAGCTGCTAGTCAAACCACTCAGCAGTAGCAAACCACTTTCTATATCATGCAGGAGTGTTTTTTCTCTCCCCTGCAGTGACCACTGATTAACAGAGGGATCATCTTTTGTAGGAGGAGAGGAGCAAGCATAGGTCGGTGCTTCAGTCTTTAGCTGATCAGCCGTGTTTTCATAGTTCATTAGATTCAGGGCAGTAATCCATTCCCCATCCCTTGGGTGCTCTGTTGAAGTTTGGCCGTTGACACATGCGCTCCTGAGCAACGCTGGGCAGCTTCTGGGATTCCACTGCTTCAAAGCTAATCACTGGGATCACCCTCTTGCTGGCCATAGCTCCTCCGAATGGCCTGGCAGATCTGAAAGACAAAGAGAAGAGTCCTTAGTAAGCAGGTCGAATGCATTGTGCTTGAAGTTCCTGGCAGAACAGGACCCTACTGTATCGTATGACTCCTTCCCATAAAGGGTGGGGGATGAGGAGGGGGGGCTTTAGATGATACATAATACCCAATCTGGTCATCAGTCTGATTTTAACTGGTCCTTTTAACAGGAGATAACCACCTGGGACTCAGGATGGTTCAAGTTGGGTGTGTGATGCACTCAACCTTCTCTACTTGTATAGCTGTTGAGTTCAGATTTAATTAAGGCTTCACAATTTTATAATAATCTTAGGGGTGTAAACAGATCCGTCCACAGGGGGTACAGTTCCAGACTGGCTGGCAGAAACCGAGTGATTGACAGCCTTAATTGAGTAAAGACTTGAGTTTGTCTTTCATATATTCTCCATTTCTCCATCTGCCCAAGCTTAACCTTTTGTACTGCCTCGCTGGAGTGATGCAATTCCTTGTGTGCCATGAGAAAGGTGATTCCCTTTCGTGCGCAATATGTCTTGTGGGGGGCATTAAAAGCTTGCAGACCCCCGGTGGATCATCTTTCAAGTGCAGTGGTTCAAAATAGCCATCGCACAGCCACACTCCAAGGAGGTGCAAGCCAGAGACTGGATTTAATTTCTAACTGTGGAAACATGGAGTGGAGCCGAGAGAAGAGATGATTGTGATGGATAACATGGTTAGGTGGTTATCTGTCGGTAAGACGGGAGGGTCTCAATGCCTGTGCTCCCAACTGAGTAGGTTTGAACAAGTCATGATTTATTTTTTAAATGGTTTTGGGTTTTTTTTATTGCCTAATAATCGATAGTTATAGGAAAGTTAGATTTACCTATTGAAACACCTGTAGTTGGCAGGCTGTAGTCTTTGTGGGAGCTGGGGCAGCTGGGTATTGAGGACATTCAGGAGCTCTTCGTTGCCTCCCAAAGCTTCCCTCCATGGGGAGCTGTAGGATTTGGGGATTACTGTTGTGTTGAACTTCTCATGAGGAATGTTCTTCAGAGGGCCAGAATATCCTGAGAATAAAAATAGGGGGTACGAATGACAAACCACTGTGGGTAAAGTAAAAGCCACGTTCCTTTAATTTAGAGTAATTTATATTCAAAAGAAGCTACATAAGGTCCCCTGTGTTGAGAAAAACAGATATTCTTTGGGTTTCGAAACTAATTACAAACCCCATTCAATATCAAACTTCAAAAAAAGCAAGCCCCGACAAAGCACGCACAGATCTAATATACATATAAATTCCTTTGATGTCTCTCCCATCAACAATAGGAACTACAGTAATTAGATCTCAGTGTGAATCCTGGATAATAAACAGAGCTTAGTTCACTGTCAGTCAGATGGGAAGCAGTGCCTTCTGACAGCAAATATGGTTACAGACAACCGCTTTCTGCAAACTGCCAACTCTCCTGGTGCTGATAATAATAAAACTAATTTATTTACTCAGTACATTTCCATATAAAAAGGGAACACTAGCAGAGTGAAATACAGTGTCCATGCATTGCACAAGCATTTGGCATTGCGGTGAGCTAGTCCTATGGCTTGTGGCAGTAATGGTAATCCATTCTTTACCATGTATTACCATTTACCTGGAGCGAGGACGTCAGGACTGCCCTTCTTTGCTACAGTCTTCTGAAGGTTCATGAGCAGGCTATGCTTACCAGGGATGGAGAAAGCCTGGTTCTCTTTTCCTCCCTGTGGCTCTGTGGGGATCTGCAGTGGAGGAGCGGCCTCCATATGGACCTGGGAGAGGGGCAAAGTTAGATTTTGTTTCAAGAATCAAAGATTTATTTGTCACATACGTATATTTTTCAGCATTCACAGTGAAATGTGGGGTTCGCATACTCGAGAGGATGTGCCAAAAGGCTAACATGCAGAAATAATAATTAGAATAAGAGTCAAAAACATATAAATATATGTAATATCAGTATTAAGTATTAAGTAAGTATATTTTCCCACATGTTTAGGCAGACTGCAATAAAAGAAATGTAATGAAAATTTGTTCTCAGAGATGCTTTGGACAGAGTGGAGAGTGAGGAAGTTTGTCTTTAAGTCTACAAATATTGTAACACACTTTATTAAAGGGACACTCCACTGATTTTACACATTAAGATCAGTTCACTAGTCACAGGTAGTGCTACTCAGCCTGTGATAACCACCAGTTTAATGTTTTAAAAAGTAACCCTGATGATGAGGTGATCAGAGTTGTCTCACCTTGGGTTTGAGACATTTTAACACAGGTACATCATTTTGGATGTGTAGGTTCAGTGGATAGGAGTCAATGTGTGCTACGAGCCATCTCTCAGTTCCTTACATTGTTGTTGTTGTAAGCACCATTAGCAATGTTCTCCAGTGTGAACCTCTCGACCCTCTTCTGTCTCTCTTGAAACATGCGAGAACCTCGATTAGATGGAAGGTTGAGTTCCTCCATCATCACATCCTTTGGAACGCTGATCTTCTTCCCCAGGTTCAGACCTTCGACACATTATGTAACAACACCTCATTATGTAGGTCTAATACATAATATATATAATAAACAGCACAAACCCAATATGTAATAAATGTCCCCACATTTTGTACTAAATTATGCCAAATGTGGTGGCTTTTACAAAATGTGTGATTTGCACTTTTATTAATGAACTGCATTTTGACTAAGCTGAAGCTTTTTGATGGTCTTTTTAGGGAGTCCTATCTGAAGACCATTGCAGTAGTCATACCTGCTAGAAATAAAAGCGTGAATGAGTTTTTCCAGTTTGGCATTTCACATGACGTCCCAGAGTTTGGCTATATTTTTAACATTACAACAAACTGAACTT